CATTTACATATTTTTTAACATACTTTGCTTTTTGTAGTGTGTACTGTTTACCTTAGACTATTTTAGAAATCTTAGAATGTGTGACGTTTCCTATATATAAATATAGAATTTTGATGCGCATGCTATTTTGACACTACTAGTTAGTAAAATATTTAATATTAATAGCAACTTTTACCCTGTATGGTTACCAAAAAAAACGTCTGATGCTGGGAGATTTTAGCAAAAAGTATTGATGTCCGTCTTGCTCTTGACACCGTGTCAATATCTTAAAAGTTGTTAAAGGATATTTGCTTGACTGGAATTGTATTCTCTTTTGAATAAGATAGATGTCCCAATTTGTGATGAAAGTCGTAAATAAAGTGATCGATTTCTGCTGAAATTACTTTGTATATCACCCATTTTGGTGACATTTTTGTTAGCTTCAGAGTTATGTGGTGTTTCCATCTCAAAACAGTGATGATTAAACTAAAGTATTTATCGTAAAAGGGATCCTAGCCTCGTTGGCTGACTTACAAATTGTACTATAAGAAGAACAATCTGCACATATCCATTAATTGCTGTCAGTTTTCGACAATATCTGCAGACAATCTTTCTTTGTGAATATTAGCATTTTGTCGGCAGATTGATATCCGTCGATTGTTCCAAATAAAAACATTTTTCGGATTCGAAACTGCATATGCATAACCATTACATAATGGTAGTTATGATCAATTGTTACCTCATTCGCTGGTCGAAACCAGGATACACGACTCTATGAAAAAAATTCAAAATAATTCATGAAAATTGCTTCTTTAACAGATCTTTGAAAGGTCAGATCTATATGTCGAAAGTTTGCGTAAAAATATTTTTTATTTTTTCAAGTAATTAAGTCGGTTAGAGCCTATATTGAAATTGTTCAATTTTTGATGAGATAGAATATTTTTAACATCCAGTGCAAATAGATAAAAATCAGTCATAATTAAATTTCTGTTTGATTTTACAATTTTTTCAAAAAAAAAGCATTAGCGCAAGTCTCCGAATGATGGATTGTATATGTTCGATCGATTTCTGAGATTACCAGAAGTCACCAGATAAGTTATCACTCCTATGACTTCCAGAAAATAATGTCAACTTTCGGAATATAAATTTAATTTTCTAAAAATTTGCTAAAAAAGAACAATCTTCATGAACCATTGTGAATTTTTTTCACATAATCATGTGTCCAAGCTTTGATTGAACGATGGAAATGAATGGTCTCTATCGTCTTTTTATCCAAATGTTATTCATAAAATAGTAGTTTGCCTTTTAATTGGAAATAAATAGTACACACGAATCACATGAATTTATTTTTCATATATATTTTTTTTTTAACATTCTAATATTCCTAATTTTCCTGCGATTCGTTTCACTTTTTGATTCAATTGCTCTTTCATTAAGTTAAAACACATAGCAATAAGAACTAAACCTAAAAGTATATAAAGCGCAGCCGAGATTAATTTCTCTTTAGCCGCAACGGTCAAGGATGATCCGGGAACATAATCTCCGAACCCGATTGTCGTTAATGTTATAAAACAAAAATAAAATGAATTTAAAAAACCCCATTCTTTTTCCCAAATATTGAATAATATCGCACCCAGTGTCAAATAGAGTGGAATAACAAATACAGTCACCAATAAAGGAACAGACATTTCTTCATCATATTCGTCATCATCGTCATCGTCATCATCGAGATATACAAGTTGTGACGGAAGTGTCGATTGATGTTGCTGAAGATTTTGTGACCAGGTTAAACGAGCTGGAATTGTTTGAGTTTGAATAGCATTCTCATCTAATTTTGATAATTTATTTGATTCATCATAACTTGGTGGACTTCTTTTTTCAATAAAACTTTTATTTTTACGTAAATCACGATTTAATTTACCATCTATTTCGTTGACTTGTCGAAATTCAACAGCACTTGATTGTCGATGTAGTCGTGTCGCATCATTCGTCTGTTTTTTGGAACGTTTTCGTGAAAATAGCCGTTTTCGGAATGATTGAGCAGTAGTACTAGTTGTGTCATTTTTTGAATCTGGTAAAGATTCAATACCTGATTGTACTGGTGGTATTTCTTCTTTTTCTACTGTTATATCTTGATCATTGCTGTTAGAATTTGTCGTCGTTTTATGTCGTCGATGATGGCGTGTTTGTGAATTAGGACAATTTTCAACGTCCGTTGTATCATTGTTATTTTTTCTTAACTTACGGTTATGAGTCGATTCTGATTTTGACCGTTTTAATTCTTTACGTTTTCGTTTTGTTGATGATAGCTTTTTTGAGTCTTTTTCTTCTGTGATATTGTTATCAAATGTTGCCTAAAACAGAAATATATACGTGAATTTTATGCAGTAGACAGGTTAGGAGGCTGTCATCATGTACTTTTTGCATATTCACTTCATCTGTCTTATTATGGGTGATCGCTTGTTCAAGTTCATTAAGTTGTTTTTGTTTATCATCATCATCGTCAAGATTTGTTGTCAGTTTCAGTGTTTCGTTAATATAAAATTCAATTGGACTCAGACCTGTTGATCGACGTCTTTGATGATTTCCATCACTGACTTCATCGTTGTCTTCATTATCGTGGACAGAATTTTGACGAATTAAGTCATTAATACGATCGATGGCATATTTTTTACGTTCGAGACCGACACTGCCGTCGTTGATCGATGTATCTGAATATACTGATGTTGCTAAACTATTTTGTTGTTTATTTGTGATTGGTACACCAGTTAAAATATTTAAACGTATATCAGCTGGTAATGATCGAACATTTGTGTCTAATTCTTTTTCATCGTCATCTGAGCTCGCCGATGATATTGAGGAAATTGATGGTGATGATGAAAGACTTTGAAAACGGAGTTTTGAACTGCCTAAAAGTAGAATAATATGTGAACTCACAGATGGATATAATATGAACTCTTATTACTTTTATCTGTAACTGCTGTTGATTGGACGGATGATAGAGTATTATCTTGGGAACGTTTAATACTTGATTTTGTTGTTAAATTTGGTGGTAAATCATTTTGCTGCGGTGGTTGTGTTGAATGCTGCTGATACTGGTCAAATTCAGTTGAAGGTGTAGTTTCAATATTTGTATTACGTAATGTATAGGGTGGTAATTTATCGACTGAATGATTGACCGTCATTGATTTTACTTTTTGTAGACGTTGTTTTTTCTTACTCGTACGACAACATAAAACCATTTTTATACGAGAAAATACAAAACGAAACATTCTAGCCATTGTTGAACCAATATTAGCAACGAATAACATCATTAATGGTACACCAAATGCACTATATAAAATGGTGGCAATTTTTCCTTGTGTTGTCTTTGTTGTTATGTGACCATAACCTAAATGATACAAGATTTAGTGATAAATTCACGTACTGTGAAAGTTGACAATAAACTGACCTATTGTTGATATTAACGTAACAGCATATAATATTGCACCAAAATAATTCCAGTCATGTTCTGAATTTGTTCTTGTTCGACCATCAAAACCTTGTTGAACTTGACTTATGACTCTTAATTCAAAATGTCTGAAAGACAAATATTAAATTTAATGTTATGCAGTATGAATATAATTATTAATATTATCCTACTTACTCAAGTTCACGGGATGCATATATGGAAAAATTTCCTCTTTTATCAACGTATGGAAGTGAATTAATCCTGAGTATTTCTTCCCATAATTTATTTAATGTTGTATTTAATTCTTCACCCATTTCTCGTCTCATGTTTTGCTCATTTGTTGATTCTATAAATATAAAAAGAATATTTGACTCATTCAAAAACAAAAAACATTTTACAGTTTTACACAATACCTAGTGTTTGAAATAACCATCCACCAAATGCTACATAACCAATCATAACACAAAACAGACCGACACGTGAAAACATGAATGCTGTAAATTTTTTGCAGCATGTTAAACAATTTTCTTTTGTGCAACACTTGCCCTCGTCTTTTGCCAGTTGTCTTCTTCGCATACTGAGAAAAAAGAAACAGACAATATAAAAAAAATTAAACGGAAATAAATAATTTCTTGCTATTCCGCTCTAATATGAAAGTTAGATGTTTGAAATATCAAAAATTTTAAGTAATGTTATTATTTTATCTATTTAGAATACATACTTTGATAAATACTGGCTAGCTGATAATGCTCGGGCAAGTGCTGCTGTACGATAAACAACAAATACTTGTTCTGGTCTCATTTCTCTCTCTCTCTCTCTCTCTCCTTTTTTTTGGTTTTTCTCTCTATATTATCTTTATTTAATAATAATTAATCTTGAAATATAGTCTATTCTTCGATGAAAACATGGAAGTAATTATCAAATAAATATATCTGCATCTCAATATAGAACAATTTAGTTTGGCATGTTTTTTGTGTTAACCAATTTTGGTGTGAATGATGTAAAGAATAATCATAATTATTGGTTGAGATAGTGTTATTGAACATCAAAATATCATAACATGTGTCTATCTATCGTGAGTGAAGAGAGGATCGAAAATATGTTGAGAATAAAAATAATATTTTGATACAATGGATAAGATGAGAGACAGAGAGAAATATTTACTCTTATAGAGGAAAGGAATATAAAAATAAAGACAAATTATGAATTAATTTCGACATAAAATCAGATGATGACGTCGATCATATTTGTTTTTGTTAAAATTTTGTCTCTTAGTAGCTAGTACTTGATGATGGATGATATACTACCGATCAGTTTCATCGATCATCATACATACAATAAATTATTTTTTTCTTATCTATTTATCGTATACATATAAAGGAACAACTCTTCGGATTATTAACACAACATGGTGTGTGCGTGTTTGTCCGTTAGCAGAAACCATTGTTATATTATCAACGAACGGCAGCAACAGAATAGAAAAAAGGAAAACAAAGGAAAAATAAAACGGAAGGAAGAAGAAGAAAAACCATCAGTTTCTGATCATAGTGACTACTACATATATATATCTATATATGTCGAAGATATAGATATGAAAGTTGATGCACCCTGTCGATCTTTGTTTCCATAAAATAATAGTAAAAAGAACAAATTGATTTAGATAGATAGAATAATGATGATTTTTATATTCCTTATATATATATATATATAGTCGATTGACAATTTAGACCTTTCTGTCATATACACTCGTACATCATCAATAATAACACTCATCTCTTGTCTATCGATGATGTGAAATGAACAAGATCTCTTACATAAAACAAAAATAATTATCTCCCTTTAATTAAGAATGTCATGCGGTGAAAACAACAAAAAAAGTTAACATAATTATTATTGTAGAAGATTTACAAGTATTTTTTGGCCAGCATATAAAGATTTATTAAACATATGAACAAACAAAGTGTACATCTTCTGCTTCATTTAGAAATCAAGTTTTTATGATTCCTATTTACAAATCTGACTATAAAACAGAAACTTGAGACTTAGCAGCGCCCAGTTTTCTTCTATTTGTAAAAGAACCTAAATATTTTCTCGATGTTAGTTTTATCAGGATTTTATGACCTTAAGAGCCTTTTTACGTTCAATATTTCTGAAAGGTTCTAGACAGAATCAGAATGCACAGTACTTTTGAACAAGAATACAAGAACGTTAAAACATATTAAATTTCTTAATATAAACATCTTATAGTTATCTTCACGAAAATGAATCAGATTGCTCTGACAATTTGAAAGCATCAACTTGATCAGACTAATAAGTATATTATTAAACAATTTGAGCTTTTATTTTCGCAGAGTACATGATATATGTATTTTTTCGAAAAAATATTCATTACAGTTCATTAAAAAATAAAAGGTCGCTTCTGGGAGAGTGAAAAACTTTTGAATGGAAAATGTTAAAAGTGTTTCATTTTCACTTTCATATGTAAAAAACTATTTTCTATCTGAATATTACATCCATAGACATGCTAAACTCGTTAAAACTAGAAAAAACTCAGTTTTATCAGGTTGTTGCTCTTTTTTCCGCCAAAATCGAGTATTTTTTAAACTAATGTTTTTAGTCATGGTTTCATGATAAAATTAACACTCGCTTGATACGAGCTAGTTTCTATCTATCTATTTCCCAAGAAAGGTGAACCTAAAAACCTATCTTTTCTCAACGTTCCAGAAGTTTAGCATCAGTGAACGTAATATTCAAATAGAGCATAGGTTTTTACATACGAAAGTGAAAACAAAACATTTTTAGCGTTTTCTATTCAAAATTTATTCAATCTCCCAGACGTGACCTTTTATTTTTAATGGATTTTATTTAGATTAAATATATCAAGTAGTACTAAATTCATTAAACTACCTAAAATTCTTCTTGCCTAATGCACGAGGATCTGATTCCATAGATATGTCGAAGGAGAGATCGTTACCTTTTTATCTTTGTCGAATTGATGAACATGTTTTGTGTAGAGAAATAGAACGTTTTTGCTTATTTACAGTTTTTCCTTCGTCTCGTCAAAAACTAACATCTTTAGGGTACATATTATACTGTCAAGGAAGAAAATGAGATATGATCAATTTTTTTTGTTTATTTTTTTATTTTGAGAAAAACCTACTTGAGAAATTTTCGGTGTGCTTGTTCTTTTGTTTTTTTAAATCGATTTTGTTTAACAACAATAACGCGTGATATTGATTCAACACGTTTCAGATAAGTTCGAGCCATTCCAAGAAGGACTTCAAGGAAGGACGATCAAACAAATAATATATTAAAATAAACGGAAAACGATTCCATGACACTTAACATCCTTCGATCAAGAAATAAAGAGAGAAAAGAAACGAAAAGTGTGTAAGAGAATGATAGTATGCCTGGTTTAGAAATTAAAAAAAAGAAAAAGAAAACTATCGTTCCAATTATAAACGATAAAAATGTCTTAGACTCAAATCGATAGAGACCAATACTAGTGTTGATCATCATCACTTCAATCAATAATTCAATGTAATATACCCAAGAGTATATCTAACTCTAATGACTTATGTTAAATAGAAAAAAAATTATTTTACATCGAGAACATCATTCAAGCTAAGCTTTACGCAACTCAACAGACATAACATAAACTAAAAATATGTGTTCATGTCACTTGAACATACTGCACATGATTATTTTTTCATTCATTGCAAGTATAAAAGTCTGTTCTTTATTCAGATAGTCTTGAACAACTTCAAACATGTCTTTGAATACTATACGAGTACAAATAGATAAAGATCCTATTGTTAACTAGAAATATAAAAATAGACAGTCCGAGGAAAAAGTCACAATAATAAATATATCTTTTTATGTAAAAGTAATACATCAATAGACATATTAATTATTATTTCAAAATAGAGATGTATCCCGATTCATGCTTTGAACCATAAGAGTCAATTTGAAAACATTTGATATGGGACAATATTTTTTTAATGTGGAATCTTAATTTCTTCATTACAAGATGCGTAAACAGCTACAAGTTGTGTTGCCAGTTTTATCTTGCATACATAAATTAGATGCATCAGACACGATGTTAAAAAAAAATCAATCAGAAATCAAAAAAATATTTTGTTACCTCATCTGTATTGACTTATTTATATGGCTAATACCTTTTACCACTATGAATATTTTTTTAACATTCAAAATTAATGGAAGAATTTCAATGTAATTTAAATGCGTCTCTTCACCATTATTGCCGCTGATTTCACCGCCTGACTTTTCTGGTTTTAGATTATGATCGCTTAAAAATATTTTAATTTTGGTCAAAATGCAGATGTCTCGAAACCAATCTTATCGAAATAGAAGAAACCCTTGAAGCAACAAATTTTAAATCTGGCTCTTGACTTATTTCGCCCTTAAAGCTGCTTGCACGTTTAGTTAGTATTTTAAAAGTTGAGATCAGTCATTTTGAATCCTTCTACATGTTTTTTCGGTCGATATCTAACCAATGCTAAAATTATCTAATGGCAGTTGTTATTGACAGATAACTTGCATAAACCTCACTATATGGGCAACGGTTCTTTCATAATATAAACGACAGATATACTATAGATAAATGGTTAACCACAACCCACTATTGCTCTCGATCAATGCGATCCATCTATGTTGTGTCTTTTTATACAGATTTGTATTAATTTTCGAATCAAAATACCCGTTCTCTAAGGTAAAACACAAAAAAAAGCGTACCTGTGAGATAGACAGGAAAACTTCTCGTAAGGAGCTGTCCCATCCGCGAGGGTATATTTGACAATTACATTTTGAACACAAATTCGAAGAGATTAAGATCGAAATATTTATAATATTCAAAAAAACAAACCACAAAATATTCTGTTAGACTGTCGAGTTTTCTCAATAGAGGCCTGCGGGACCAAACTTTTTTGGTCCCGGTCCTGTCCCGGTTCCGTGAAGAAAAAAATTTTGGTCCCGGCTCCATGGTCCCGTAAATATTTTTTCAAAGTAGCGCTGATAGTTTGAAAGTCATCGGATTGTAATGTGGCTCATGGAACAGCATGCCTGGGTGGTATTAACTGAAGACTTTTAGAATTTTCTATGAGTTCTTTCTTGCAGAACTGGTGTCTATACACAAACAAGCACAGAAACTAAGAAATTTTTTATGCTCTATGTAAGACTATTTTCAAACAAACCTGGTCCCGGTTGAATTAAAAGTCCGGCGGGACCGGGACCATTCCGCAGGACTGAGACCGTTTCGTAGATCTCTAGATCCCGGTCCCGTTCCGATCCCATGAAGTTTGGTCCCGGTTTCGTAAAAAGTCCCATGGGACCGGAATGGGACCGCGACGGTTCCGCAGATCTCTATTCCTCGGCATAGAAATTTTATGCTGCGAAGTGCACAGATAAAAAGTGTTTCTAGAAATTACTATCCTCGAAATAGAATAGCTCATCTATATTTTTCGAATAGCTTTGAAAGAAAGAACGTAGAGACTTGCGCTTGCAACTTAATACATACATAGAAGATTAAAATGTGCTCAACTCGTCCAGAATGGATGGTGTGGGGTCGCTTGAAAACTTGGTATCCCATATGGTTTTGCCTTTTCAGGAACACCATACTGGTTATAATTCGCTCATGAATTAACATCCATTCCACCTGCGTCAATACGTAATCTTATCTTCGAAATGTCATTTAATGCTACAGCGTTGATTTTCAATACATTTATGTGCTTAGGCCTTGCAGTATAATGGAGAAAGACGCAGGTTTGTATCCTCTCTTATTCAAATATTATTTGAAAACTAGACACGGAACATTGTATTTTGAAAATGGATATATAGTGCAAATTGACTCCCATCGACTTTATATGTATGTTTTTGTGAGTAACATTCTTCTTACCCTGTACCTCAGAAAGGAAAAATAACAATAAATTTGTGAACAGGGTATAGATATTTGAAATGTTTTCCAACGGGAATAAACGTTAAAGTAAATTATTATACACGCAAAAGAGAGTGATTTTAATTATCTATCCTATGTCAAAAATTTATTGTTATTTTTCCTTTCTGAAGTACAAGATAAAAAAAGAATATTACTGAGTGAAAGGACTCATGGATTAAAACGTTTTTTTTCGAATGTTATAAGTTTGACTGATATGCTTGATTAAACAACTTTTTTCTCAAATTTTGTGATTTTGTTTTTCTTTTGTGAAAAGTTTTAAGTTCTAGCGCAGCTGGAGGCTTTCTGGAACTTTTCAATCATTTCTTACAGTCTAAATAGTTTGGCTGTGCTAATAGGCAACAGATGTTGGGATTCAGTTTTACCTCTTGGGCAATGACTTTTACCCGAGAAAAACTAAATTCACCATATTTTAGATTTTGTTAAAATTTTATTTGATCCTTCTGTTTTCTATGCTACTTCAACGTAAGATACTGTAACTCTTATGCATGTGCAATTTTTCTTTAGGGATTCATAATAATTCTTTCCTTTCGTTTATAAGCCTTGTGTTAATCAACCAAAGGTGGAAGATAATCGAGCACTATACAAAACCCAAAAGTAGCACGGCATGAAACCTTCTCTTCCAATCAAGTCAATACGAAATCCATGCTACTGAAACATTTTCTAATAAAAAGAAGCACAAATGTTCTATGAAACCTTTTTTTCTACAGAATCTTTAAATGTTCGATAGAGAACCATTTTTTTAAAGAGAAGGTGAGAGCCGAATTTTACGAAAGTTCATGCTATGGTAACCTAATACTGAAGAATCCGTAATTCAATCAAAATATATTGTACTATAGAACAATGATTTCATGATTCTCAAATCAAGACCCATTCAACGTTCTACCAAACATACTATGAAGAAATTATTAGTTCCCACGGAATATTGACGGATCTATTTGCTAGTCTCGTGGCGACAGATGTGTATGAATATGAAAAGTAGACGAGAATAAAAATGGAGGAAAAAATATTTACTTCTAATTAATGGATAAAATAAGCGTCGATAATTGTAGCATAAGCGGCTAAACTGTAGCATATTAGCTTTAGTTATAATCCGGCTCCTCTTCTAGGAGAACACTCTGGAAAAAGATGGATTAAAATTGGCCAAGTGCGTCTTCAAAAATTGATTGCGCCAAATTTTTTTATGCTCTATACAAGACTATTTTCAAACAAACCTGGTCCCCATCGAATTGAAAGTCCTGCGGGATCGGGACCATCCCGCAGGACTGGGACCGTCCCGCAGATCTCTAGGTCCCGGTCCCGTAAAAAGTCCCGCGGGATCGGGACTGGAACAGTCCCCCCGACATCTAATTCCTAGGTCAAAAAATCAGATCAAGATCTTACACGATCTTGTAAAATCTTACGGACAATCATAGAAACATATTCATCTTATAAAATCTTATAAAAATGATACAAGAATCTTACGAAATCTGCTGAAATCCTACTATAAGATCTTATGTCAAGAATCAGTTTCTATGTTTCTTACAGAATCTTACAAATTCTTATACGAATCTTACGAAATCAGACGGAATCGTACAAGAATCTTATAAGATCTTACAGTAAGATTCTTTGACTTGGGACTAATAGTTTTATTTGCTTGAATTTCAACCCGAAAAGTCTTTAATTAACCCAGGTCAAAGAATCTTACTGTAAGATCTTATAAGATTCTTGTACGATTCCGTCTGATTTCGTAAGATTCGTATAAGAATTTGTAAGATTCTGTAAGAAACATAGAAACTGATTCTTGATATAAGATCTTATAGTAAGATTTCAGCAGATTTCGTAAGATTCTTGTATGATTTTTATAAGATGAACTCGCTTCTATGATTATTCTCCACAAGATTTTACAAGATCGCGTAAAATCTTGATCTGATTTTTTGACTTGGGCTTTTGCGAAAAACTTGTAGCCCTTTGTCGCTTCAATCTGACTTCGTGCAAGTTGTATCAAAATATGCATCTATCTATTCTCCTTTTATAATGTTAGTCTGAAGTAACATTTGCTTGCGTACAGAAAATCCTGATTGTAAGGACATATCGTGCTTTCTTAATTAACTTTCTTAATCGAAATAAATGATTCAGTTCCGATTCGCCGACACGTTAATTAATTTTCCTGATTCGTCGACATTTTATAGTGTCGGCGCCTCACTAACATCTTTCATCTAAATAACCTGTTCCAAGATAATCTTTTTTTTGGTTCTAAACATTAGGCAAATGATCTTTAGTAGTAGTAAGACAGAAATAAGCGAGCGCTTCTGCTAATAAAACATGTCCGCCGGGCAAGGAAAAAGTCTTTATTGTACGAGTGGAATGCACCTATACTGATTCTTGATTTTACCATTTCTTTCGTTCTCCCAAAAATCTTTGTGTACTTTAGATTTTAAATTTAGACAACAAGATATTCCTCGGAATATATCTTGTTGAGTCGAAAAAATTTTAAACCGTTTTATTTTCTATGTTTAATTACATTCATAACTCCATTAAAGCGCAAAAAACGTAGACCTTCAGTCTGTGATGTTCTTTGTTGGTTCTAAAAAATGTTTAAAGTTTTTTGCTCTTTCTGTTGAGTCGTCAAGACTCTAGGATGTAGTTCTGCTTTTGTACAGTATTAGCCACAATAAGTAATATAATCTGATTCTGATAGCCGACTCTTTTGAATTCACCATGGAGAAAGATTACAAGTTTTTAGTTTATCATAATCTCGCTATTGGCATTGTATTAGACAACAAAGCCTTTACTATTATCTGATGTGAGAACGTGCATCCATATAGCGTTGATGATCTCTCACGTGTCAATGTGCGATCTTTTACAACCTTATAGTGGCGACATTAATAACGCTCGTATAGCGATTCTTCTAGAAGTTACATGCCTACTATTAAGAAGATCTGTAGAAGAATGTATTTTAGGGTCAATATGTATGAATTCTGGCGAAATCTAGGATTTTTAAAACTTAAGTCTGTTCAAACAAAAGATAATCATTTAACATCAATTTACCTCGTTCGTTTTGATGATGATAAATAATAAACCGGCAGTGAATATGTTCTCATTAATTTATGACGAACAAGTATTTGAAATGATTGTCGTCTAAGAGCTTCGCTTTTGTAATCCATATTTGAATTAATTAAAATCGAATGTAAACAAGTCACGTATTATATTATCTTCTTCTCACCATAAAACAAAGTTGAAACACAATAATTGAAATCAAAGGAGCAGCATGATCTATTCACATATAGTTGCATATATATTTTGGTGCTTTATGTGTCATTTCCTTCGATATGAAGAGAAATCATGCATTACGTTTAAGAGTGATAGATAGATATTTTTCTGAAAAGTACCATATAATAATAACAATAATATCGAACAATCAAGTAAAACGTGATGCCAATAAGACAATATGTTTACTGTAAATTTTTTCTTTTATTATATTATTACACAATTTACTCTTAATGGAATAAATAGAAGATGAGAGACAAAATCTATATATGACAATTATAGATATATATCAATGATAGATAAATTTTTGATCCTCTCAAACGTACACACATCTGATTTAGACGCTTCTGTTCTGATATACATCTTTTTTTGTCCTTTTATTTGTACCGGGGTAAGCGCTTGAGTTTTCGACTTTGCGAATGAACTAATCAGCATACAAGCATAAAAGAGAATTTCGATAAAATATCGCACACTTGTTGTTCAAATCACATTATCTCAAACAAAAAGCATGATATTAGTATGTCATCAACGTAACGCACAGCCGTTGCTAGAACCTAACAATTAACACACACACACACGTCAGAATAGAAGTCCAGTGGTCGTGTAATGTATCTCGCCAAATCATGGTCTCTCTCAATCATGGGTAATCTTCTATTAAGGTATAATTTTTTTTCATCTGTTGGGACGATTAACGCCCTTTTCCGTAGGAGAACTGATTTCTATCACTTATATTCTGTTTTTCTCGTTTATTTTAATCACTTTTTTTTGCTCACCAAAATGATTTAACACGTTCAAATAAAGATGGTAATAAATGTGTTTCTTCTGTAATGTTTATTGATTAGTATCAACAGTGTAAAAATGTTTACTCAATACAATATTTTCTTGCAAAAGTAGTATGAAATTCCAAACGTGCTAAGTGGTTAAAAAACAAAATTTTCAATTACTATAAGGATATTTCCTCTACCTAAAAGAAAACGTCCGTAGCTAACCTGTTTCTACTGAGATTTATAAAAATACTAAATATTCCTTCATTATTACTCTTTCTGCTTAGGAATTAAAAATAAACTGTACTACTCTACTTAAAACTGAGTTGATTGAGAACAGTTATGTTAAGAAAAATACATTTTCAAAATCATCGATACTTACCATTAGCTAGAAACTAGCTCAAAAATTTCTTTAGCAGTAATGATATAATGTAAAATACTAAGATAAAATTATCTTATCTTATGTGAATAAATTGTTCAGTATTTGTTTCAGGTATAATATTCTATTCTCGCTCTGTCGATAATATCAATAATAGTCTATATTAGAATTGGATGAATTATATATGTTCTACCATTCTAATCTTCCCTTTGTCTTTCATGTTATTCATCATTATCATTTCGAATGAAGTTTTCTGCATGCTGTGTTTGAGATGAAGATAATAAATGGTAAATATTGAATAAATGAAAGAGAGAAAATAATCTTATAAGATTAACTGTTTTTTCTTCCCCTTAACATTAATTATTAGTGTTGATGATTTTGTTCCACTTATATATACGTTATATATAAAATCAGGTTGTTATGAACTCAATTAATTGCCATATTCATAAATCTAACTTAGTAGTAGTGAGAGAGAGGAAAAATGTCAAAAGTAGAACAACATTCTCTTATACACATAGCATCATCACTCTTCGCATTTACTGCTTTAGAAAATCACTTTTCTTTTTTGTAATAATCGATGGTCTATGAGCATCTGCAGTTTGCTTGAACATCTCATAAAAAATAGGGAATGCTTCTTAAGTAGTGTTTATATTTAAATAGTTCATTTGAACAACTAATCCATTTCTTTTTCTATAGAAGATATAATAGTTACTGAGGATTTATACTCAGCAAAAAAACAAAATCATAATAATAATAATAATAATAACAACAGGTACGTACTGATTGTGTGGAATGTTCAGTGGAAGAAATAATACTCGACTTAATCGCCGTACTACGGCATATCTGCTCGCCGTCATGTCTAAAAAAATTGATGAAAAAACATTAAAATTTTTGACACGCCACCCATTTAGATATCATTAGAACGAGATTTTTTTCATACATGCTAGAATTTATTCATAACAATATTACTTCGTAATATAAGCTCTCCTTGGTTAACTTCGTATTCTTTTTCTTTTCTTTAAATAATAAAAATGTTTTGATAACAGCGAGGTGTATTTATCTCAATCTCTTTAATATCAAGAGACATTTGGATGTTGTTTTAGTAATATTAGTAATTAACTTACTCTTCATTTTCTCTTGACATACTCTAATATCATTTATAGATACATAATATCAATTGATTTTTTCAATGAATCACTTTTAGGACTTGTATAAATTGTGATAATTATTATTTCAAAAATGAATAATATCAATAGTTTTAATCCAATAAAATAATAAAAATTATTTGAATCAAGAAAGAGTAAGAACTGACGATAGTAGTCCATAACCCAAGTGTAGTAGTATATTGTGACACTGCTCTAGTTTCAGTCAACAAGAACATATATAAGAAAGGAAATCATTTATCTATCTGTGTAGTATACATACACATACATACAGATATATCTCTTTAACTTAACGTGTTCGATTATGTATTAACAATTTGTCCATACTAACGAGGAGTTATTTCCTATTTCGAAAGACATTCTTTCTTCAATAACACACAATTATAACCAAACAGTTTTCCAATGCTTCTGTGGTAATACAATGTGTTCTATTTATTTTTTAGTATATAGCTAACGATTAATTACATTGTCATTATACACTAAATTTCAATTAAATTTTTACTTATCCACTCGCATCTATTTCAATTATCAGGGTAATATTTCAAGACTCATCAAGTCATTCTCTCTGTCTCTCTTAATGTATATATATATACATATATCTATTTTAAGTTAACAACTCCCTATTGCCTTTTCTTGTACGACAAATACATTATTTTTTTGCATAACTCAGTCATTAGGTATGTGCTGTTACCAGATTATCTTATTATGACAAAAATAAAAAACATAATTCAATCATAGAGTGTATCTACGCGTACGCTGCATCAACATTATCAACAAAAGAATATGCTTTTTGACATTTCTTACTACTAAAAAAAAACTCAACTTTTCGATTGACACGACAACAGTTGATGATATTTCTGGACGATAATATTTATGATCAAAAAAATCTGATCATTAGTTTTATTTTTTTGTTTATCGTTGTTAATTAATGTCTTCAGAAAATGATGGTTTCTAAAAAAACGGTATAACTGTTGTGATACTTGTCACCGCTAAATTTCGAACGTTACAATTGCTACTCAGATTGTTTTGGATTATTATTAACATGATGATTGTAATCAAATGAGAGATATATACAATTTTTGCAGTGAAAATGATTTACTTAACATATGTGTTACTCTAGTTATACAAAAAACTTTATTATAATATCAAAAATAGATTTTTCAGAATACTATTTGAATTTCAATCAGACAAAAATAAAAAGAAATAAATAGACACGCACACAAATAAAACTAGATCAATTTAAGTCATTTGTGTTTATGGTGAAATTGATAAAGCTAATGATGAATCTGATGATTCAGACCAATATTGTTTCATTTTTTGTTGAAAAAGTTCAAGATAAATTTTTTGTTGTTCAATAAATTGATATTGATTCTCTTTTGCATCATAAATAAGATCACAATACGCTTTCATAATGATGACACGTTTCATTAAAAGATTAAGAACAGATAAACGACTATCTGATATCGACTAGAAGGAAAACAAAAATCGTTGATTAACTAAACTCATCGTACAGAAAGAATCGAAATTGTTACACAAGGAAAAATTATACTACCACTTTTGATTATCAAATAAAAAGTATTCCAGATGAGTTTTTCATTGTTTATGAACTCACATTTTGTTTTTCGATAATAAACTGTGCAATCATTTTGGCCATTTCTACCACATCATGTAAATCCTCGATTTGCGAAGCTAATGCAATACCTGAAATGAAAATACTAATAATTCTATTTTTCAATCACTAAAATCTTATCATAATGAACTTCTTACCATAATGAACTTCTTTACAAGCGCCTGGTTTCAATTGATAATCATAAATAATTGCATTTTGTTCTCTCAATTTTTCAACTAAATTTGTTTGTTTTCGATGGAAACGCACTGTAGATGAGTCATGTTCGTTTGTCTCATTATAAACAACATCAAAATGATAATTAGAAATATTTTTATAGGCATGACTAATAGATGTTAATTGTTGAAAATGGGTAGCAAATATAACAAATGCTTGAGATGTTTTTGCTAAATATTCAATAATACTTGTGGCTAATGCTAAACCTTCATTTGCCGATGTTGATGAACATACCTGAAAAAAGATGATGATTAAAATTCGAAAAAATAAAACATACCGTGGTCAAAACAAACTTCATCAAGTATAACTAATGAATTTGGTGTCATACAACGTAATATAAATGCGATATGATTCATTTCAGATGAAAATGTTGATTGACCAGAAAATAAATTATCATGCTGTCGAATTTTAGAAAATATTTCTGTTACCTAGAATAAACACACCATACGCATCCATTTCACTTCTATAACTATTAAATAATAAATTAACTTACAATACGAAATTTTGCTTGTTCAGCTGGAACAAAACATCCAATCTGTGCTAGTACTTGTAACAGTGCAATTTGACGCAAATATGTTGATTTTCCACTCATATTCGGTCCCGTTACAATATGAATATTTAATTCTTTAAATAAATCAATATCATTTGGAATTGGTTTTTGTACACCGAATAAATCAATAACGGGATGACGAGCTTTAACTATTTTTGTATAATCAGCAAATAATGGTCGAACATAATCACTACAATAAAAAGAAATATTTCATGAAAAAGTAAAATATTTGTTTTTTACAATCTACCGTGTACGTGAAACTTCGGCAAATGCTTGAATCATATCAAGTATCGATAATGCTTCAACTAATTTATATAGTGAACCAAAATAAGGACGAATTTCTGTCAATAAATCTAATATAATTCTAAAGTTAAATTTCTCCTGTATCATAAATTTATCATTTGAAAGAAGATAAACTTACTTATCTGATATGAGACAAATATCATGATACAACAATTCAAAACGATCAGATAAATGTGCCAGATGTAATGTGGTAACTACTGTTGATTTCTCACGTTTAGCGATAGATATGACATTTGGTGGTAATAAACCTTAAAAATAGAAAAATGGAAAGCGATAATAGTCTTATATTTGAAAGCGATGAATTATTATACCTTTAAATTCACAACCTATTTCTAAAGTAAATCCTCGAGTATTTGTTAAACTATATCTAACTGGCACATTAAATCGTTCACCAAAGTCTCTTTCCATCGCTAAAAGATAAGATGATGATTATAAATATGTAAAATTCAAGCAATAAAGTAGAAATAGTCAATGGCATATATAATCTGCACTTACGTGCATATCTTTCTCTCCATCAGTAAGACACATTATCGTCTACCAAGGATATTCAAAAGCTCCATTCTTTTCTATTGCTAGATCAATACCTTCTACATCGCCAATTAATTCGATAACATCAGCACGTAAACTGTCTAGACGTTCATCACATCCGTTCTAAATATACCATAACATTGCTTAAGGAAAGAGAAGATGTTTAAATACCATATGTTACTCGAATAGTGAATATTCGTCGTAATTTTGTACCAATAAAACCCGTAAATTCTGTTTGTTCAGTATTTAATCGTGAATCAAGTATATCTAATATCAATTGAAAACGTTTATCAGTTAGAACCTAAAATGAAAACAAAGTAGAGTATGTCGTCTTTTTTCCCTTTTGAATAACTTACAGTGCATAAATTTTTCATTAAATCAGCACTTCCTTGTTCCAATATATTTTTTAACGTTGATGAAATATCTAATATATGACGTAATTGATTTATTACTGTTAAACGTTTTTCAGCTGAGATTAAAGTATGACTTGGATTTTCTTGGATACACGCTAGTATAGTGCCTTGAGAAGAAACAAAAAACCAGCTGGTGAGATGAATGTTATTCTGTGAATTACAATTACATACGTTCAACGTCGGAAAAATGAATTAATATTGTTTGAATTTGATACATAAACTTTTCGTCATCCATAAAATTTTCAACAGCATCCTGACGATAATAGATTGAACTAAGATCTAAAAATAAGTTTTATCACTAAAGAGTAGAGAAAGGTTAGTGTAAAGTTCACGCATGTGTTAATTTACCAATCAATGGTTCCATTAAATTTGCTCTCAGTGTTCTAGCGCCCATTTTTGTTTTTGTCGCTTGTAATATACTGAATAGTGACTGAAAACCAGGTTGAAGACCACATTGATTTGATTGAGCAAAATCAACAAGTATTCCTAGAATGTTATGCACATGATAGATGAAAAAAGAGATAAAAATAGTATCTACCTAAATATCGCGCACTAGCTAAATCTGAAACGAAAGAGTAAAATTAAAATTGCAAGTATCAGGAGAAGCTGCTTATCGTGTATACCAAAAAAAGCACATTTTTCTGAACTTTGTACTTGAATTCGAATGGATTTTTCGAAAAAGAATATATCATATTGATACTCAAGATATCGTAATAATGCCGCACATGCTGACGTACAATAGTATCTACAGAGATAAAACAAAATATTTTCAAGTAGGAAGGCGAACTAAGTTTCAGGTACAACTCACTTCTCTTGTAAACGATGCAATGCAAATTCTTCATTATATTCAGCTGTTACAAGACGTCTCAAACGATCGAGTCCATATTCAGATGAAAAATATTTTCGATTAATATTAACTACTCGAACATCAGCATGATGATTGGTTATCGCTTCAGTTAGACGAGTACGCTCTGTTAAGGAATGCTGAGATTGTGGAACAAGAATCTGGAAAAGACAAAGACATAGAGTTCAATATAGAGAGCATAAGATTTATATTTTATATTTCATCACTTTCTAAACTAGTTACGACGAAATCCTGTCTCATTTCTATTGTGGGATATTCAAGTTTGTTGAAGTTAATTACCTCGTTCGGCTTTAAGGTTTCTAATTTGCATAATAATCTTGAAAATGATAAAAAATCACTGAATTCGCTTAATATAAGTGTTGCCGATGAAAAATCATAACAAGCTACGCCAACTGTTCCTTTGGCTTCGCCTCTTCCCGTACATATTGCTACAAAGAAGAAAATGCATAGTAAATGATTTGCTTTCTTAGCCAGAGGAAAGATGTTGGTTACCTGCAATAGCAACTGGATAACGAAGATCATCTTCACCTACTGCGAATGACACAGATGTATTATCGGTTAACGTTAGATGTTTAACTGAAGAAACAGATGATGACTTTTTATTTTTTAATGGTACTGGATGCTGTTGATGTTTGAAAAGATTATACTTCATCTAAAGTATTTATCACAAAGGAAGATAAATAGATTAATCTCGGGCTACTAAACAAGACATAATGCCCTATAAGGATAATAGATCCTTTTCGAAATTCTTTATTTATTTGATTTTTAGCAAAAATAATATATCATCTATGAAAAAAATAACCATTCATTACATATGGTCCAGAGATGGACGAGCACACAGAGCTCTGAGTACGAGTACTGAGGATCGAGTAAGAGTAGAAGTACGAGTATTTTCTGAAAAATACTCGAGTATAAAACTTTTCAAAAGAAGCCGGTGATTCCGAAAAATTTCCAAAACGCTCGATTTTTTGATATGTAAATAGTAAAACAAAAGGTCACCAGTTTTTCGGGAGGTACTGGAGTACTTTTTGGAAGACTCGTTAAAAAAGGTTCCGAGTACGAGTATGAGTACCGGGAAGTTTGTACTCGAGTATACGCGAATACGACCACACTGCAGTCATTCATTTGCGGATTTCAAAAATTCAGAAAGTATACAAACAATACAAATAATTACTGATTATATAACTTACACTTCTCCTTCCTTCTGAAACTATTCGGAGGAGTTCCACAAAATTAATACTCACTACAAATAAAAATCCGAAGTTTGTTTAAATCAATCACTCTTCGCACAACATACTCCACAATGTGTATATACATTTGGCAACTGTACAAGAAACTCGCCGCAAAAGTCTAACAAAAACATCAGTAAAATAATATATACAAGGGGAAAAGGGGCGTTTTTCCCATGGAACTGGTGCTTTTCAATGATTGCATGTACAAGCAGTAGTATTTTGGTTTGATAATGCGTATTTACATAAACTGTTAGTTTATGGTATGATTTTATTTATTAGACTCCTGCCATTATAATGTATCGCCACTACACCGTTCTTCGTTCAAATTTTAGCGGAAATTGGTTCCACTAAAAATCACAGAATATATGGATAGATTCACGTAAAAATAGGATCATTTCCCCATGTCGATAATAAATCATATTCATTTCAGAAATATTAATAGACAGCCATTCTGGTTTGGAATATGACGAGAAAACCTTAGATACAAAGATCAGAGATATGCCTACGTAAGATCGAAGCAAAACACAGCAAAAGATAAGTAACCATATGGTAGAGCAGTTGGAAATAGATAAGAATATATATAGTATAGAACTGCCGTAAAATTTAACATTATTGTCCAGAAATATCATCGACTGTTGTCGTGTCAATCGAAAAGTTGAGTTTCTTTTTTAGTAGTAAAAAATGTCAAAAATCACATTCTTTTGTTGATAATAATGTTGACGCAGCATACGCGTAGATACACTTTATGATTGAATATTTTATGTTTTTTATTTTTGTCATAATAAGGTAATCTGACAATATTTTCTTATTTATTTAATTTAACAGATCACACATAGATAAAATGCAAGCTTTCAAAGCCTTACAGAAGTTATCATCAGGCATTATGAATTGTAAACAATTTTACTTTTCTAACTAACTTTTCCCCTTTTCCATTCTTGTTTCTTCGATTCGTACCACACCTTACTATCAACATATGCACATGTTTTGATACTAATTATCTATGTTCGATTTGTTAAGTTAAATAAATAAAAATTACGGCAGTTCTATACTATATATATTCTTAATAGCAAAAGATATTTCAGAGCCCATCAAAAGAACCGTAGAAAAGATGTAATTGATTGGAATTTAATTTTAAAATATTGTTGTATTTTGACTACGCTTGAGGAAGTATCATACCGACACTTTCAGCGCATTTAACTCCAAAAATTCGTTTAACTGATCAGCTGCAGTGAGTGATTAGTTCCAACCAAGTTATTTTTTCCTTTTTCTTCTGTTTCGTCTCTATCATCCACCAATCACTTACCATCGAGTTATACGATTATTCTAAATTCAACCCTTTTCATTGCAACATAAAACATAAACTCATTTGCTGCGCTAAGTAATCGTTCTGCCCATGTAATCCCATGGACATGCACTATAACATAAGCAATATCATTTTTTCATTCATTATCGCAGCTCTAAAGAATGCTTTTGTTATTAAAGTAATTAAGAATGAAGTGAATATACTTCATTCGGTCGTTTTTCCTCTATTCTGTTCGTCAGGCTATGATACAACAAAATTTAAAATGGTTTTATGTATAACTGCTTTGTTTTGTAATTGCATAAACATATAAAGTATAAAAGCATTTTGTCTTTACAAATGATGAGACAATAGATAGAAAAGCAATGTTTCTATATTTTAGAATGCATCACGTCTGATATATAATGCTTCTCACATTCCACATATAGATGCGTAATAAAAGTTGATAAGTAAATGAACACAACGAAGCTTTGGGGAAAAATTCTGTTCTTTTTCCATGGCGGGACAGGTAAATAGCCAAATCTTTCACAGAGATGAGATCTCTCATTCTATAGGTGCCAACCTGAGATCAAGAACGCAACGTTTCGCTTTCCTTTTCCTCTAATAATTTAATCAGAAAAGCTTTTTCTTCTTGACTGATTTCGTCTCCACTGCGGCATTTTTAGATAATTTTGGGACTACTGAACCTTCTCAAAAATTCGAACCCAGTCCAGGGACGGATGGAGAATTTTTTAAGAGAGAAACAAAGTTTCTTTAAAGCTCTCCGAGGTAGTACGAATTTCATTTTTTGCAATGTCTTCAGATGGTTGATAATTCATATGGAAGAGACAGCAGAAAATCCTCTACAAGATGATGTCATTTTTAGTCAGTTTACTTCAATTTTTATTCTAAGTTCATTTCAGCTATTTTGTCTGTAGTTATCATAATTATCCCAACGATTTACGTTGACGTATCACAATTATCCCAAATAGGGGAATTACGATAATTCTAAACATACTCATTGGAATTGATTAGGACTAATTAATGTTTTTGGACCATTTTGTTGTTGTTTGGACCATCAATGGACCATGTTTTGTAATTGCATAAACATATAAAGTGTAATGGCATTTCTGTCTTTACAAACGATGAGGTAATCCATATGAAGGAAGTCGCATGAATTTTGATGATATGCGTCGCGATACACTTAAAAGTCCACAGCATGTCGCAGTTTTCTTAAAAGTCGACAATTTTGATGTTTTTAAAAAGTCGCTAGAGTCGAGGACTAATCGGCTTTCTATTCATTCACCGACTGACCAAAGCTAGAACGTCGACTTCACTTGGCATCACTGTCATAAGACGGTGACGATTTTTTCTATTTATCCACAAAAAAATGTGTTTCTTTTCTGAGTCAGTTTTCGCTTGGAAAAATGGAATGTTCTTGTCTGTACTTAATATGTGTAATGTAATGTACAGTTCTCTGAGATAGAGATGTGCAACCCGACTCGGAGATTGGGTACGGGTACGAAGTTGTCGGGTACGGGTAGAGCAGTTACGAGTATGGGTTCTATTTTCTTTCAATTTACCCGAAAACCGGAAAGTTCTAGTGGAAAACCCACAAAATTTTAGTAAAAAATACAGGAATTTAGCTAACATACATGAAGGTTTAAAAAAGAATTATTTGAGAACGTAATGATAATTTGACATCTTCAGCCGAAAAACAAAAGTTTTTAGCTGGAAAACAAAAAGGAGAAAATTTTTAAGTATAAGTTGATTACGGATGGGGTACGGGTCGGGTACGGGTACGAAAATGATACCCGTGCACAACTCTACTCTGGGATATGTCAGCCCTACATATCCTTATAGTTCAACAGGCCTTGCATCATTTTAACCAGAAACATAAAGCATCCCTAAAGGGAGACTCCGATGAAGTTTAAAAATGGATGCAATAAAAATATATTGTCAAATATCCTTTTATAGATTGTTCTCTGCATTAAGGCGTGGGAAAAGGATCATTTCCTTCTGTTTCTTTATGCGCTTGAAACCAGCCATGTGGAACGTGAAGTTATGCCTTTTTTTGGAAGTGTTCTAATCGCTCTTTTGTATTTATTACAATCCGATGCCCTCGCTCTCTAATGTCCATTGTCCTTGTTTATTTTCTGATTTTATTCCATTTATCACTGAAGCAACCAACAATAGGTTACCAAATGTGACGAGATAAACGAGATGAATATATATAAAAAAGAAAAACCAGAAAATGATGTGCGATTTATAAAATCGATTTTATAGGTCATGGAAATTAATTCCAGTTTTCGATTTTCAAGAATGTCTACATGCTTTCGTTGAATTTCTAGTTTTCGAATTTTTAAAATCGAAATCGATTTTTCAAAAAACTGACGGCTTTCTCTGAAACTAATATGGGTTTTATAGAAAATGCATACTTCTAGAAATTCGGATTTTCTAAAAATTGAAAAATTCTAAATGAAAGTATATAGATATTCTTAGAAAAACCTATATTACTTGCTACTTTAGAGTGAACACTTATCTTGACCCCAGCACGACTACATCTCTCTTAAAATCCATTTGAATCGTTATGGCCTGACTCGGACAACAAAAGCATGATGGGGTCGAACAACTTGTCTCAGAGACAACACTCAGAACTAGATAAAATAAAAATTTTCATTTCACAATTCTTTATTCATTTGATTTTTAGCAAAAATAATATATCATCGATGACAAATGTAAAAGTACAGAAGCCAATCAGTAAAGAAAAATGCAAATAAGAATATGAAATCTCAATTTTCATCATCATCATTATTATTACTATCGCTCATCATAATATATCTGTTTTATCTTAAACAAGAGATTCGTATTTTTCACGCTTTGAACCAAACAAAGATATCTAACTGATTTATTTCAAACCTTATTCTAAATATTATATTAATACAAAAACTATTCTTCTAAAAAATGTGCGAAAGCTACAAAGTTTTCGATCGAAAAGTTAAAATAAGGAATAAGCAGCCAACCAGTCAAATTGAAAATCTCGGATTAATTTAGTTCCCACCATTTTTTATATCAATAAATCTCTCTTCATTTTTCAAAATGACTTATATCATCTGAAATAGTTTAGTTAAGAAATACTAT